GAAAACGCGGGCTCGCCCCGCCCGCAGCCCATGGGGTGATCTTCGCTGCACCCTTGGGCAGGAGTCTTGCTCAGGACTCCTCCAGGAGCAGACGAAGGGGCCCACCTCTCCTCGAAGGCTGCCGAGTGTGGGTGGAGCTGCACCTCGGTGCTCTGGCTGTGGTAGCCACAGCAGGTCTCATCGATGTTGTAGGCTTCGACCTTGTCCGACCAGTCCCTCTCGCACGTCTCCTTGTGCTCCCTGTTCAGCCTGGGGGCGGCAGGACCCAATGGAGCTAGGCTTCGAGTTGGGCAGGGGACTGTCACCCAGCCGACAGCGCCCAGAACCCCCCACACAACACATTTCCGTGCTGTGGGCCTTGGGACAGAGGCTGGGCCTGGATGTGCTCCCACCCTGACAGCCCCTTCCCCCCAGAGCCACAGGGTCGGGTCCCTCGATGCACAGCCACCCTGGAGACTGCTGCGACCCACCGTGTTTGGTCCACAGCTTGGAGGATGGTTCTCTTCAGGAGCTGCTGAATGTTCCTGATGAGCTCAGCCTCCTTGGAGAAGAGGGGATGGGGAAGAGGCCCCACCTGAGCAGACATCTGCCCCGGTCCCTGGGGTATGAGCTACACATGGTCGGCCCTCATATGCCCGGAGGAACTGAGTCTTAACCCTGACACCTTTACCTCCTGCCACCGCCATTGGTACCACCACAGTCTTTTTTCCTGGAGAACAGGGCCAGCTCTCTCTGGTTAGGTTTAGTCCAGGGTTTTGACCATTCTTTTTGGTATATTCTTCTTGGTGGGGTCTCTTCTTCCAGGGACTTCTAGGGGCTTCTGGGAGGGTCACCCTTTGACAGACCCACCCCCAGGTTCTAGGGCTCCCCCTAAAGTCCATCCAGTGCACCGAGGACATCATCTTACCGAGGCCTCTAGTAGTCCCCAGACTACCTCAGCCCAGCCCGGCCCTCTACACCTGGCACGCTGGCCCGTGCTTGGGATTCTTTTCTTTCTTTCCTCCTTGGTGTTTGGTGCTGGGGGTTGAACCCATGGCCCCTGCACTGAGCTGTATCGCCAGCCATTTTAATTTCTTATTTTGAGACAGGATCTAGCTAAGTCTAAGTTGCTCAGGCTGGGCTTGAACTTGCAACCTTCTTGCCTCAACTATCCAGAGTTGGGATTACAGGTGTGCCGTACAACTAGCTGTGCCTCTGGATTTCTGCCATGACAGCGAATGTCCCAACCACAGTGAAGCGGGACTGGGACAACCTTGGGCTTCAGCCTGGGGAGATCGGGGTCAGGTTTAATTTCCTCCATCTCACATGGGCCAAAAGAGAAGAGGGCATCCCAAAAGAAGTTACTTGGAAGTCAAAAGTCTAGGGGGGCAAAAACTCTTCTGTGACAAAAGAACCAGGTTTCCTGCCCCCAGGGGTCCTGCTCCCTGACCCCTGAACTGTCCCCCTGTGCTACCCCCATGATGGTTGCCCACTCTGGCTCTGGGTGAGGGGAGATACCTTCAGCAACTCCATCTCCACATGGTCACGCACAAGGTCAGGGTGCTGGCGGCGCTCACAGCACTGCAGCTGGTCCGAGGCCATGGAGAAGGGCAAGGAGGTGGCATCCAGGGCGCACTCCAGCCGCTGCTTCTGGGCCTGCAGCAGGTCAGTCTCTGCGGCCAGCGCGTCCACCTCCTGCTGTAACTCTGACTTCCAGCAGTGGGCATCCTGCAAGCGCTCTCCCAGCCTGCGTGTGGAGTCCTGCTGCGTGCGCTCAGCCAGAGCCTCTGTCTCTGCTGCCAGCTGCCGGCTCTCATGCCGCTGCCTCTCCGACGTGTCTCGGTCAGCCAGTGCCTGGTGGTAGCGGGCATAGCAGTTCTGAAACCACTCATCCGCCAGGTACTTGGCCGTTCGGAAGCCGGTGGTGGCCAGGCCCGAGGATGTGTGGACTCCTGTGTTACAGGCCACCTCATACTCCTTGGGCGGCAGTGCGCAGGGTGGTACTGTCTGTGGGGCTGGCTGCTGGGTCAGGAGCACATCTGTCTGTGCCATAGTGGCAGTGCCCAGCCAGTGAAGGGTTGGAGATCAAGGGGAGAATCACTGAGTGGTCCGTCAGTAGGCCAGTACCTGCAGCTCTGTCCCAGAGCAAGAACAAAGCTCTGGTCACCCAGGGACACGGTACACACCAGGCCTCCTGTTGCTGGGCAACAGGATTCCCCTCCCCAGCTATGGGGTGGCAGAAGTGGCCTCTTAAAGGGACAGGTGGCCACTGCCCTTCATGTCTGGCCCCAAACATGGCCTAAACAGCAGCAGCAGCCCAGGGTCACATCACCTAGAGGGTCCTGGGCCCAATCATGGGCCTCTGAGTCAGTCCTTGAACCCGTCCCCAAGGCCAGTCAAGACTGGGCTTTGTGGCCAAATCCTCAAGCCCCCCCCGCCCCCCCCCCGTCTATCCTGGTGCGAGGGGGAGTCAGCCCAGGGCGATACCCATCATGGCCAGCAGAGAGTGCCATTGGCCGTGGAATGCTGCCCAGCACCTGTTCTCTGTTCTCCTCCTGCCTTGGCTTCCCTGAATATGCGTCCCTGTGTGCCCCCGCCCACAATCTTAGTAGAAAATGCGCTCCCCTACTCCAGCACAAGTCCGAAGCTGCAGCCCCTCCTACCCCCTCTTCCACTATTGCCCTCATCCTGTACTCCATCCCCAGGGGCTCCTCTGACTCACCCGACTGTGCCCTCCTGGTGTCCTGTCCCCTCCGTGGCCACCCTGTCACCCCACACTGCTGTCTTCCATGTGTGTGCCTGGCCCCAGGCATCCTAGTGTGGGGGGGGGACTATGGCACTTGCAGTGTGACACCCGGTAGACGCTTCATAAATGTGGGCTTAGGGGATAGCAGCCCTGTGACCTCCACTGACACAGACCAAGCCAGAGTTCCTGCTGTCATTCAGGGGTTGGAGGTCCCTGAAGGGGACCTAAACAACTTTCTCGAACCCTCCCGTGACTCAGTTTCCCCAGGTGGTGGCAGACACAACCGGCACACACACCCAGGACCAGTGGGCCCCCCTTCTGTGTAGAGCCTGTTTTACATGCTGTCTTTTCTCACCGCTGGAGCGCTGCCAACATCTGTCCCCAGCCTGCAGGCCCAGGGGGCCACAGAGGACACCTGGCTGGAGCCAGGCTTGGTGAGCCTCTGCTCATCATCCAGGTACCAAGGGTCCTGCTCCAGTGGGACCCCCAGGTTAGCAGGGAAAGCCTAGCACTAACACAGAACCCCGGTAACAGGACAGTCCTCAGGGCACGGCTGATGGATTAGGATTGGCCGCAGGGCTGGGCCTTTGTCCCGTAGTCTCCTCCCCAGTCCAGAGAGGAAAATCACTCACAGGGTGGAAGAGTGCACCTGTGGTCTGAGCCTTGGCTCTTCCTGCCCCGGGCACCCAGTGCCTGGCACTGGCACCGGCTGTCGACACCTTCCTACTTTCATGGGAAAATGAAGGCTGCAAAAAAGAAAGAAAAAAGGCTTCATGGGCAAATCAGGGCTGCAGGTGCAAGGCCTGTGGAGAGGCAGGACAGGCACGGCCACCACGGGGACAGAGTCAGCTGCGTAGGGACAGGCGGTGTTCAGGCGTATTGGATTTGTTTGTTTCCAAATTGCATTTGCGGCAGGAAATTGAGTCCTGGGCCACATCGGGTTTCCTGCGGCTCCGTCCCCTGGCGCCCTCCTCCTCAGCAGTGCTGTGGACCTCAGTGGAGCCAGGAAGTCGCTGAGCCCCATCCAGATGCCCCCCCAGGGTGGCCCTAAAGGACACCCCAACCGAGTCCTTGAATACTCTCCGGGCAGACATGTCCTGCCACTCTTACCTCACAGACGCCCAGGTGCTGGTGGCGCTCAAGCCAGGGCAGCGGGGTGGCCGCTAGATAACCCTCCACACTCCGGCCCGGAACATGGGAAGGGGCAAGGACCGCTGGGTGGCTGCACTTACGGCGAGGAGTGGAGGCTCCAGGTCATGGCTCGGCAATGGTACATTGGTGACAGGAATGAGTAAAGAGGGACAGAGGGGCTTCTTGGATGCTAGAGGACCAGCAGAGGCTGCCTGGGCCTGACTCACTGCCCACCCAGGGTCCTGCCGCCTCCGAGCCTCAGGCCAGTGCAGAGGTGGCTGCAGAGCTGCTGGCCCCGGCTGAGAGATGCTTGGAATGCCAGCTCTCTGAGGAGCTGAGCTTGGGCACCAGGACCAGTGATCCTGACACAGCCTGCCGTCCTGGGCCAGGCGTCCTCCTTGGAAGCAGTGTGACCTTTCTTGACCTTCTGTTCCCACACTGGGATCAGATGCAGTGGGATCACCTGAAACATCCCTGGAGACTGCTCCACACCTCACTTCCGGGGTGGGACTGGGCCACAGAAGCTCCTCCTGCTGGGTTCAGCCACTGCCAAGGCCAAAGGCTCCTCTTTTGCTTTGTCTCCAGCCCAGAAGGTACCAGAGGGGAGGGCAGACTGTCACCTCTACTCCGCATCACAGCCTCTGCCCATGATAAGCGCGTCCCAGGAGGCCCAGACAGCCAAGACTGACCCAAGGTCACACAGACCTGATGGTGCCAACAGAGGAGAGCTAGAGGAGAGACTTAGTCATCTGGCTGCCGTGGACCAGGGACCAGCTCTTCCTCTGGCTTGCATTTGAAGCGACAGCCCAAGGAACCATCCAGGCTGGAACAGACCCACCTGCAGGCACGGCAGGCAGCACATCCCTGGGTTTCTCCCAGGGACAGTGGGGCGTTTTAAGGAGAGGATTTGAAGTGGCTCAGGCAGCCCTGATCAGGCCCATCAGTGAGGCAGATGAGCATGATCGCAGGTGCAGGAAGTCACTGAGAAGAGCACTGGGCCCTGCAGCTGGAGCAGCAGAGAGAAAGTAGGCCTAGGACAGCTTCCTGGACACAGTCTGGACAGGACATTACACACCCCGTGTCTGTGGGAAGGCCCCTCTCTGAGGGTCCCTAAGGCTGTTACAGATGCATCACTTTCTCTGGGGAGGTGTCAGCCCCTGAAACGTAGCAGAGGTGAGGGGTCTGAGGTAGGCAGCAGGCTGGGTGGGGGGAGCTATGTCTCCCGTGTACGGCCAGGTGGGTGAAATATTAGTGACCGCATTCCACCCCCATCATTGACAGCACCCCACTTCTAGGGAGTGCCTGGGTCTTAGGGGCCCCTCGTACTGGCCACCCTAGGCCAAAAGTTCCTCTCTCCGCTTTGTCCCCAGTCCAAAGATACCAGATGGGGTGTGCAGCCTGTCACCTCTGCGCTGATCAGCCTCAGAGCTTTCACCAGTGATAAGCGCTTCCCAGGATGACCTGGGACACTGCGCCACCCACCTCTCACCAAGGCAGGCAGAGCCCAGAGGCAGGGTGCTCTGGAGCATAGGATTGTGACTCCAGCTGCTTGTCTGGAGTGGCCAGCTGGGGGAGCTCAGGGGGTGTAGAGACATCGGCCCAGTGAAGTCCAGCAGACTTGGAAGGACTGGGCAGGGTGGAGGGAGGGAGTTGGGGCCCCCAACAGGCCCAGCTGTAGACTTGACAACAGCAAACCAAGGCCTCGTCTCCTCCCTGGCCCTTCCCCTGCCTGAATTGCTCCACCTGCTCATCAGCTGCAAGGGCATCTTGACGCATGAGTTGGGGCAGAAGCGAGCACCAGAGCATCTGATCACACAGCACACGCCACAGAGAAGCCTGTGCTCTGGATGCACTTTCACGGTGGTATAAATCACGTAACAAGCTTGACCACTAAAGCGCCTTCACAGTGCACAACTCGGAGACACTCAGGACCTTCACAAAACTATACAACTGCCACCACTATCTAGTTCCAGAATATTCACATGACCCCAGAGGGGATTAGGTACCCTCTCTGCCTTCCGGCCCCTGACTTCCGGCCCCCGACTTCCAGCTGCTGAAGCTCCCATTCCGGGGGATTTGTAGAAGTGGAATCACGCGTGTAGCCTTGTGTGGGCCAGCTTCTCCCACACAGCACTGTTTTCTGGGCCCATCCATGTTGTAGCATGTTACTTCCTATATTTTCATGGCTGAATCACGTTCTGCTGTGTGGATGGTCCACACTTATTTCTGACTTGGCTCTCGTGAACAGGCCTGTATACTTTTTATTTCGGGACCAGAGATCCAGGGATGCTGTACCACTGAACCATGTCCCGGCCCTTTTTATCTTGGGACAAGGTCTCACTAAGTTGCATAGGCTGGCCTTGAACTTATTATCCTCCTGCCTCAGTCTCTTGTGTAGCAGGAGTTACGAGTGTATGCCACCAACCTGGGTTCAGTTTTGTTTTAACACGTGTTTCCAATAATTGGGAGGTTATCATTTGTGCGCGCGTGTGTGTGTGTGTGTGTGTGTGTGTGTGTGTTGGTGAGGATGGAACCACATATACTAGGCAAGCACTGTACCACTGAGCTGCACCCCCAGCCCATTGTTATAATAAACGTAGATACCCCTTGAAAACTCTCAAAGACCGTGACTTTGAAAACATGGAAAAACAGGTGTGGCAATTCAAGCAGAGGGATTTTGATTTATGCCTGCCTGGTGCTTTAAAATAAGGGAAATCTAAACAACTCCTTTCCCTACTTCACGCTCACCAAACTAGAGAAAAACAGCACAAGTGCTAAAACCTGTTGCGGGCAGGCCTGTGGAGAAACCCACATTGGCTGTCTCGTGAATCCAGAGATACTGTCACTGGGCCTGGCAACTCCAGTCTGTGAAACCCAGCCATGGCAGTAGTGGTGAAACTGCAGTATCCGTGCAGCAGCGGGCTGTTTGTATCATTGAAAGCTCTAAAAGGTTCCCCATCACTGAACCGTAGGCAAGAACTGCACATAAGGGAGAATGTTCAAAAAGAAAGGGAAACAGCTATTTTATCTCAGCAAAATGTATCCCTGGAAAAAGGCGTAAAGAGGACAGGCACCCAGCAGGAGGCTGGGTGGGGCTACAGACAAAAGGTGTTGGGATCCAAGACAGGCTTGAGGGCGGGAAATGAAGCCCAGTGGTGCCGCACCTGCCCAGCAAGCACAAGGTCCTGAGTTTGATCCTCATACCAAGAAAAAAATTCGAACAAAGACAGATCCAAGATACACAGAGACAAGTCCGTAAGATAGATTTGTGCTAAGAAGTGGACAGAAAGCTACCTGATGTCTGATTATAGCCTGAAGGGTGCAGGGCTCAGCTTCCTGCCCGGAGTGAGCCCCTCATCTGTGGAAGGGTCCAGGCAGCTGCTTATCGGGACACGGTGGAAGAACCCACACAGGACAGAAGGACACAGTCATACATGATGCCTGAAAACCAAGGACAGACAGGGCACTGAGCACGCAAGGGCCCAGCCAGGAATTGGTCCGGGCAAGCTGGACAGAGACTGAGGAGCAAGGAAAAGGCCCTGGCAGAAGAGGTGGCAAAGGGAAGGACCAACGTGGTCTCCATCAGAGACACGTCCCTGGGCCACCCAGGCTAGTGGGAATTCCTGAAAGCAGCAGCATAGCTGGCTGGCTCCAGGGGCACCTGCAACCCAGCCAGCAGGGGCCGGTGACAGGTTCTCAACCTGCCCACAGGGTCTGGTGTCCTTGGACCTGGCCTCAGCTGTCCTTTCCAGTGCCCTTGAGCAAGTGGCTGAGTCCACTGACACAGCAGCCACAGACTTCCCTGGCCTGCTGGGGAGGGAGGGTTGTGGGGAGCGGATCCTGGGCCTACTGCCTGCGAGACTGGTCAAATCCCCACTTTATCAGCTCAGCTTTATCTCTAGAACTTCCTACAGCTTCCCAGAGAAGAAAATTAAATAGAGGATTTAGCAGAGATTTTGAATCTGCCTGAGCTGGCCAGGGAGGGCTGAACAGCCCCTGAGCTATTCTGATGGGCAGAGGGCACCTGGTCCGGATTCTGTCAGACTCAAGCCTCAAGGTTAGGCCACCAGGATTCTGCTGGAGAAAGGGCCTTGACAAGCCTGCAGCAGCTCAGCCACCCAGCCTGGGGTCAGGGACAGAGAGGTCAGCATAGAAGGCTATAGTGTGCAGGTCTCAGGGCTCACCCAAGAAGCCACTCAGTTCTGTGTCCTCACCACACCCTTCCTAGGGGCCAGAGTTTTTTTTGGGGGGGGTATCCTGTCAAGGAGAGGGGTGGGCTAGGATAGGAGAACTCAGGGAGTCATGTGTCTCTGGCAGGGCCACGCTTGACTACCAACCCTCCTCCATGGCCAGGACAGGGCCCAGAGCCCTAAGAGCACTGGGGGTAGAGCCATGTGTCAGCTGTTAATGCAGAGAGGATAGATCAGGGCTGAGGTTACAGCTCCTCAAATGGCCGCTGCTGGCCCCAAGGTCAGGGGTAGCCCAGGATGACCCAGTCAGCCTCCCTCAGCCCAGCCGAGAGCCCCAAAGGCAGGTCCCACATGCAGCCACTGGAGGGGACAGCCCCGGAGCCCTGTGTGGAAAGGCTGG